AATGAGCTTATAATATAATATCTTTTTGTAATAGAAGATCTTATCGATTAACTTAAATAATGAAAAGGCACGTCAATATATGAACTTGCGACTGTTGGTAATTGATCAAATTGATGAATGGCAAGACAAGTGAAAATGTTCGTCATCATCTTCATCATCATATCAGCCGGAAGACGTCCACTGCTGAACATAGGCCTCCCCCAAAGATTTCCAGATCAGCCGATCGGACGCGACGTGCATACATCGGTTACCCCCCGCCCTTACCAGGTCGGATGACCTGGTCCTGGGTCCATCTAGTAGGGGCCGTCCCACTGAACGCCTTTCGGTTCGTGGTCTCCATTCAAGAACCTTTCTGCCTCAACGGCTGTCAGTTCTACGAGCTATGTCTATTATATATGTATGTCTACTATGTGAACTTGCTAATCCTTCGAGCAATGTCGGTGACTTTCGTTCTAAGGATCTCTTCTTTTCTGATTGAAAATATTACTGCTGACAAAATATGGTAAATTAAAGTTATTAATCAGAAGAAGTTTACTTAATGACGGCCTCGTGTGAAATTTTTGTGTTTTGTTTATTATTTCTCGGATTTCTAACTCTGCTACTCTGCATATTTGCAGATATTGGCAGTATTTGCAGTATTATTTCAATAATACTGCAGTAACTCAAAATTGTGGAAATTAAAAACAAAACTTGAAAATTAAAAAACTACTGAATGGACTTTATTGCGAATAATGTGAACATTTTTATTACACATACTACTACTTAATTATCCATTTATAAATAATAATACGTATACTGGTTTCATTCAGTATTTCTTTTTAATTTTCAAATCTTGTGTTCTCAATTTTGAGTTACGACAGCATTTAGTTGCATGCGCGAAATATTGTAAATGATGAATGTGCACAAATGTTTATTTACATAGAGCAACCCCTAGTTTCTTATTCAATCTCCGCATAGGAATCTGCTTTACGAATGAGTAGTACACTTTAATCAATGTGACGATTCAACTGTAGCTTGCCCATTGCGATAAAGATTATTTTGAATTTGAGTTTAATAACAAATGTGTTACATTCAAGATCGTTCCAATGTTGTACAAGTTAAGTATGGAAAAATTCTTTTTCCAATCGCAAATTAATTTGCTAAATTAACGTTCTCACATACACCTAGAATAAATAATACGGAGAGGTTGTTGTAAGCTGTATGTTATGGATGGGCCGGCGAAGAGGAGTCATCCCCATCCATCATAACTTATTGATGGAGCGGCTCTGATTATCACAACGTATATCCGCTAATTGCTCGTGCAACTATAGGATATATACGTCGGATATTGTTGCTTGATTAAGTTAAGAAATTGATCTGGAAGATTAACCTCATTATTGCGGGAGTCCAAAATTTAATACCTGATGATAATCGACAAAAACAATTTACAAAATAATATCATTTAGTTTTATTTTTATTAAAAAAATTTCTTCCTGCAAACCTAAGTACGACACAATGATTATATATATACCGAGTGCACAACAAAACAAAAGTTACGTAATACAAAAAGAAAAACACTAATAACATTAAATTATTATAAGCTACATAAACACTTACATATTTCATAAAATAATACCTATAAAATGAATGGAACAGTAGATAAATAGTCCTCCTTAACTCTCATTTTAAAAATAGCTAAGGATTTACTATCGCGAACAATAATGGGTAGTGCGTTCCAAAGTCTGACCGTTATGAACAGTGAAGGAGTGAGAATAAAAACCGGAATTGAAGGATAAAGAAGATAACTTGCACATAACGAGAGAGAGAGTTTTTAGAGCGATTTCGTCACATACTTAATCATTGTTCTTTGTTCAGTAATAAGGTATTTTTTATCAATAGAATATGGGAACGGTCTGTTTTTATTTTCCTGATTGATAAATATGTTTTCATAATAGTAAATCACGTTGACTTGCACTGACTTGATTAAAGTGCAGTACATCGCTATGTACCGTTATGTATAGACCAGAATTGAGCGCATTAAGGGCGTACATTCATGTCTGCGCGCATAAGATCCCTGGTGAAAAGATTTGATGGCGAGGTTAGAGATTTATGTCAAGGACCATACAGGACCGGGATCGGGGGATTTCAGTGCTCCTAACATCCGACTGTACCCTTTGTAGCTGGAGCACTATTCGGGTTCACTTCACTTTGTACTCATTCCTGACTACCACTTACCGGGACGTTTTAATTTCATTTCGAGAAAACTCTACCGTCGACCCACTTGAGAATGTGAAGTCTTACACAATTGACTGTAGTGCGAGTTCAAAGGACCCGGTGATATATGATTTGGCCTTTTTATGTATACATATGTATACATAAAAAGGCCAAATTATAGCAATATAGTCTGAATTTGAGCTTCTTGACGTACTTTTTCAACAAACCACCATCTCCGTAAATAAAAAACAGTCCTAAACTACATGTCGACGAAAGCACAAAACTCGCTTCCTACAAAATCCATCTAATAAACAAGGAGTGTAATAAAAACAGTAGTGTGTCGACATTGTATGCTCGTTAGTTGAGTTCAGAGGAGCGTAGTTACGATGTTAGATCCGTTAACGAGTACAGACTTATTACCGTCTCTACGACTACAGAGACGCCTAATGCCTTGTTATTGCTCCATCAATAGTTTACCTGCTGGATAATATACTGTTTTATTGGCATTGCACATTACGTTCTCAGTTGCTTTTGATGAAAATGGCTATTAGCTCAAGGTCAGGTTTGAAGTGTCGCATCATTAGTTGTAACAAAATTGTTAGAGCAGATGATCCAGCAACTACGTTGATTAATAGTTCTCCTTGTTACGTTCTGTTGCGAACGAGTTCAATGTTATTTTAATACATGATTCCTTGACAAATGTATGCAGATGAATTTCAGCAGTAGGTTAATAAATCCATTTTAAACATAATTTGTCGACAATTGAGATAGCAGATAGGATACTTAAACTGGATGTGAAATAGCCGGGTTGTAAAATTCAAACCAGTCCGTATAACCATGTACCTATAGCTAGTGTACGAAATGTCCCTAAACTGTATACTGCACATCATTGCACATAACCACTGATTGTTACGTTGTTCGCCAAATTCGGGGGTTTAATGGTTGACGCGTACTACAGAATGGGCAACAATGTCACGACACTCACGAGGACACTAATTTGCGACATCTTATACTGTCAACTGAATTTACTACTTTGTGGTTACTTGCTTCACCCGGAAGATAAAAGAAAATGGTTTAAAAATGTTTGTGAAACAGCTTGTAGAGTTTTCAATCTGTCTTGGTATAATAACTTGGACAATTTATGAACACAAGTAAACAGATGTTGTAAAAAAAAATAATATCAATGCATAATATCAGTGTTTAAACTATTAATATTCTACTATTATACTATTAATATTAACAACTAGTGCAAAGTCTACTCTTAATTGCAAACATTACCGGCACATCAAAATAAATTAGTCGTTATAGTCCATTTGTTTAGGTACTTAACTAAATGTAAACAATCTTGAGATGTCTATTTAATGAAATATACATTTATAAAATTATTTTTACTTACCTTCAAATACAAAATACAAATACTTAGATATGAAATTGCATGCCTGTTTTTATAGATACTGATTAGGAAAATATATGTTTCAATAAAATGATGTATCAAATATTGTTTACAGTTAGTTAAGTATCTAAACAAATGGACTATAGTGCTCTTACTAGTTTGTGTTCCGGTATTAAATTCTGCAGTAAGGTATAAGGTTTCACTGGATGAATTCTGTACTAACTGCAACGGGACAGCCCACAAGCGCATCCTATCCAACTCCAATCACGGCCGTGAGTTGACGGGGCTTAGCGATGCTAAGATTTCACCACTCGACGCTGCGCTCTGTGTCGGTGATATCTCAATTTCAGTCGGCTTTTCCGCTTGCGGGTATTAACTTGCCGCCCAAGTCAAAGCCTGAGCGGTATTCCTAATTTACACGAAATTTAGCACTAATCTACAAAGTTAGAAGACGCTAGTAACAATTTCCAGTATAACGTCTGTCTCAAGCTGACGGCTTGGAAATACACTAAAAGTCCATCATTTGCACCAACCACACGAAGCTCACAGGCATTGGACGTAAAGAGCAACTAATTAGTGCAAATAGTCGACTCGCTATTGTAGAATTCATTAACGAATCGTAAACTATGACAGAGGTATTAAATCGGAACAACTTGGAATATTAACCCTTGTACAAAAGTTGAGTTCTCGGACATAATAAGGTTATTCAACAAAACAACCAATATAACGGTAATGTTCGAATTTATAGGCGTAAAAGCAAAATCAACAAATGAAATCAGATTCCCATCGGCACGAAACAAAGTTATCCGTCGCGATTCATAACACGGCTGGCGACGAAAATAAAAACAATGAAAAACTCAATAATTATACTCGTAAAGCGAGTTTGCGGAAGCCGCAAAACGAAATTTAATTTGCCCTGAACGCTGCATCAGAAATAAAGTTAAAACAGTCGCTGCACAACGCCCAACTTCTAACGCAAATGAATAGCGAATGGGAAAAGTTGGACTGAGAAAAATGATGTCCCACTCGACGAGTCGAGCTGTGACAATATGCCGAGGCTGTGGACTGGCGGACTACTACGGACTATGGCCCGAGTCGCCGTGTTGTTGCGTAGTCATTGTTATTAAATGTCCGCAATGTACACTTATCTACCTTGCTCCGCTAATAAGGAAGGAAGGAACTTTAAACGTCACTTGTAAAAAAAAAAATCATTCACAATAAGTTTCACGAACGGTTTCGCTAGACTCCGTTAAAGATAGGAAAACGGAGTCGCCAGTAGGTCCGAGCTAGTTCATTTTCCACATAGTTCGGAGCACTAAAGTGAAGGAAACGTGCGGCAACAGAAACTTTTTTATGGCTTTCCTTTACAAATGGCTAAATAAAAACAAAAGTTTTAACAAGAGTAGGTACTTACCGTTTTCGCCGTCTGTGCCGACACAGTGTCTGGGTACTGGATAAGGGCTTGGAATGAATCTGTAAACAATGATAACTCGCTTTAGATGGATTAGTTTTAACAAAAAAGAATGTTTATTAAAGACTAATAACAACATTTACTTGTCAATGAATAATAAACCATAGTAGATAATTTTAAGTAAATATTTTGTTGTAAAATTGGCACTAGACTATCTATTTGTCAAGTTTAGAGTACTTCAACTAAAGAGTGTTATATTACGAATTTTCCCCGTAATAAACAATTTTCGCAACATTCTAACAGAACACTTAAGTGTTGGATGTCGGAAACCTTGACAGGTAATACCTTGTTCACAAGATCATTCAAACAAGGTGAAATTGGCGTCTAAAAGCCCCACGCTATGCGATCCCCAACTCTTGAAGAGTTTGTCGCGTCTCAGGTGCAACTCTGCTATTTTATCATCCACAACACTTTAGAAAATATGCGAGTGTGTAAGTTTCATGCCTATTTTACTTTCGTTATAAACTCGAACAGTTAGAAATTTATTACTTCTGTCGCCACTTGTTCTTTGTTGATGCCGACGAACTTTTGATGGATCGTGTCGAAACCGATTTCAAACTTATAGCCTTGTAAACTTTAGATTTTAGCTGTATTAAAAAGTCTAGGAACTTTTACTGATAGATATTTGGACGATTGATTGAATTAATCGAAAATAAAAGATAGTTAAAGTGAAAGTAAAAAAAAATAGCAAATTACATTTGAAATCGTTATATTGATTTAGCTTTACTACTCACACGCAAGGTAAATTCCCCTGAAAAGAATAAGCAAGAAACTATATGGGTTGCTCTTGGCAAATACACATTTATCATTTGCAATATTTATTTCAAACATGGAGAATACCTGCACGAGAACAACAGGTCAGTATCACAGATTCTTGCCATGCAAATACGCAGAAGCTATAATAAACTTTAGTGCTTATAAAGTTTTGTTTCACTATAGTATTAAATCCAGTGAATTGAAAATTTTAAATATCAACCGAAATCTTATTTCAGAAGCGGGTACATTGCCCCTTAAATGAATTTGTGACTTTGTGAAGACGACTGTTAAGAACACTAGTTTATTTTTATTCCTCGTATTAATGTTATGTCTGTCACTATTCTTCATAAAAAAGTAGTATTATAAAAAAAAACCGTCCTTATAAGTCGTTTATTCCCTAGTTTGCCACGCTAAGAGGTGGAATATTTTCTTCAAATTGAAATGGGACCACTACTGAGGTACTCTCTTTCCAACAAAAAAGATTCATCGAAATCGGTTCACAAATGTCGGAGTTATCGCGTAACATACATACAAAAAAACATACAGTCGAAATGAGAACCTACCCCTTTTTTGAAGTCTGTTAAATATTATGTGGATTTTAGGTTACAGGAAGATAAACAACGCATACGAATTAATGCGTGATGTGAAGTAAATACAGGCAGCCCAAACGAGGGAATAAAAGAGCAGTATCGTTGTCAAAAAGGGTATTAACGTCTTGGAGTGGTATAAACAATTGAGCCAATGGGGAGAGAGTATTGAGGCCGGTGGACGGGGAGTAATATAGTTCGTCGTCAAGTCTATTTACTGCGAGAGGATAAACGTTAAACCCCCTAATTTAAGGCATGAGCCCGGCGATCATTGCCGTCCGCTAGTCGAGCACATAAATTCACATTTTTAGGAAACATCCGAGCAGCAGCAACACCTGCGGTGGCCGCTTAAGGTGCCATTACACCTTCTCGGCTTTAAGCCCTCCACCCACAAAAACGCCCATTAGATGACATACATTTACTATAATCTACATTTTTAACGCTAAGTTCTATAAATGAAACGTATTTATTTCTAAAATAAAAATAAACATAATAAATCTCTTCGCAAATGAAAAACTTGTCACGTTCTCATGTTTTCGCAATTATTATACATTGGAAATCAAACTATTTTTTTCAGATCTAAACAGCCTATATTTGTTTTTTCAAACAAACCAACGTTTAGGGCCCTTTAAAGGTCCCATTGTCATGGCTGACTGAGATAGTAAAGTCATTAACCAGTTTTCATTATAGTTCAAAAGTTATTGGTTTAAACACCTTATTTTTAATTTATTATAATCAGAATTTGAATACTTTATGGACTTTTTATTACTTGATAATCTCAGTCTACGGTATTAAAGTTTTTATTGCTTAAAAATAGGGAAGAAATTTTTACATGAACCGAAAAGTTGTTGAGGAACTCTATTTAGTGACATTTCCGGTATTTATTGGTGTTTTCGTTGCTAGAAAATGTTCACTTACCTATTTCGGTGCCTATAAAATATAGACAGGCGAGCCACCGAGAGCACGAAACGTCAGCGTAAATTAAAAGTAACGCGCTGTCTCCTTCGTACATAGTTAAAATGCTCTTTAAGACCCCATATTTTTTTGGGCCAACCATTTGGTAACGTTAAAATGGAATGCATAAAAGGCTTACCCCAAATTGGACTTTTTATGTAATTACATCGTGAATAAGTAAGCTAAAAGTGTTTTATGGCGGTGAGATGAAATGAAAAGGAGAATGAACCACGAGACGTACAACGTGTTAAGAGTTCGTAAATCACCCCCGTTGTTTCATTTCTGTTGTGATTTTAGTACAACCAGAAATTACAAGGATGAGTTAAACGATAGATTGTTACTTGAATCACCAATAAGTTTTGTGGAACCACAACTAATTTGATTTGCCTACATCAAAACATGTTCTATTTACAAGATTATTTTTGTTCATTGTTTTTAGTGTTACAGCGTGTATTTCCAGCATAACCTCCTAAAGCGCTAAACGCCCCATTGGGCGTACATTAAAATGATTATTTATTTATTCGATTATAGACGAGCAGCTTTCGCTAGTATGTCTACATCACACAGTGTTGAAATTATATCGTGTATAAAATGTACTCAATATAATTACATGCTTCAGGCCCGAGCAAGTATATCCTCAGTTTTATATGACAAACGTATTTTTCTAGATTCCCTAGGGTTATGTAGAATATATAGCGCTAAATTGGAATGCGTTATTTTCATTGTAATGTACAATGGGCGGTTACGTGATCAAAGAAACAATATTGTCTGGATCTGCTCATGATTTGTGAACTGAACATAATATGTGCATTATGCTGTACACGGGCATTAGGAGGTTAATAAAAAATTGAGTTTCCTCGCTAGGGTCAAAAAATGATACTAAGGCCTCATCATCATCATCAACCCATTTATGTGTTCCATTGCTGGGCACGGGTCTCCTCTCAAGCAAGGGTTTTAGGCCATAGTTCACCACACTAGCCCAATGCGTGTCGGGGACTTCACACGTTTTCCGACAGTTGTAAACTTTCTTCGGCGTGCAGGTTTCATCACGATGTTTTCCTTCATCGAAAAGCTCATGGTAAATTTCAAATTAAATTTCGCATATAAATTCCGAAAACTCAGCGGTGCGAGCTCGGAGTCGAACCCATTGCCTTTTGCGATGTGGTAGGTCAAACCATTAGGCTACCACGGTTTTAGATTTAGACCTAGTGAAGACCAATGACTAATTTTGCCACTGTAAAGGTAGTGCAATGTACACAAGGGATTTGTTGTCTAGGAGAAAACAACACGAAAGCTCCTACCCCGGGGATAAGCAACCTTTTTTCTTATCCCTTTCAAGGATGTAAAAGCTTTTGAATCATTGCTATCGTCATTGAAAAGCTTTCTACATCTTGCTGTTGCGTTTGTCTATCGTAGTCTATATAAAAAAACAATGAGATCGATGTGAATTTATAGTTTATCTACGCGGTTTTTTTAAAGGCCTATTATTCTTAATAGGTTTTTTTTAAAGGCACATAATTCTTTGAAATTTAGTACTAACTAAAACTAAATTTCAAATAATTATGTGCCCCAGTGAAGAGCAAAGGAACTATGGAATACAATATAGTCAATATTATTTGTTCTTATAAAAGGTTTCATTTCATAATAACGTAATCACTCAAACATAAATCATACTTTGTATATACAAAATGAGTTTATACTAAAAACAACAACAATTAAATAGATTATACCAATTAAATTAGTCACCCCTTTACCGAGGTTTATTTATCTACGCTGAAATATTCGGATGTTAATTCAATAACCTAGCTTGGCTCTCCGATTGCGCACAAGAAATTCAAATGCTCCCAATCAATTCTTCCAGTTTATAATGCTTCATTAAAAATACAACTGGAACACGCAATTACTTTATGGAATATTTAAACGTCAACGTCAGAGTAAACAGAAGATGGGAAGTTGCGGATTTAAATTAAAATTTCGTAATCCCCATTTCGCTGTGTAGCAAAGAGGTTGCTTCCGCTATGTTAATATTAAGCGGTGGCGCGGTCTGCCGGCCCACCGATTACTGTATAATTTGATATCTTAAATCTCGAGGTCTACCGTGAAACGAGCGCATCCAGTTATTCTGTCCAGTCCCGAAAGCGTCTTCGTTCGCAAATTACACGCCCTTTCAAGCGACCTAGCCGCGTCGCACTTAGACACTACTTGCAAAAGCTAAATACTTGTACAGTTCCGGAATTAATGCTGTATTGTCACGCGACTGACTGCGAAAATAGAATGTAAAATTGTGATCACTGTCGCATATACATACAAGGCTTACATAATGCCAAGATATAGTAAAGATGATACCCGTCGACGAATCAAATCCTTAATTACAATCCAACGGCGACATAGACACGACACCTACAGCAAACAGGGGACGCATAATAATTGTAGCGGTCTGCTACACCTTAATAAAGCCAATCGGGTGATGACGCTGGGGGTTCGAGGGTGGCAAGGGGGTAGGATTACGGCAACTCCGCGCTCTTCATTGAGATTTGTTTCGGGATTAGGAACGCGTTTTGATGGTAACCTCGCTGTCAGGTTACGACCGACGAGCTAACGGGACGTAGGGGCTAAGAAATTATCTTTCATGATCACTTTATTTACTCATTTATCTGAACTTATTCATAATTGCAAGCCAAGAATATTAACCCAGTGAACATTGC